GATGAAAAACTTCATCACATTTCTGCAAGATGCAAAAACAGATGGAGGTGAGTTGGCAGGTAAAACTGAGGGGAAACCAGCATGGCCCAGTATATGCAGAGAGGCGACTCTGTCCTGATGGCCCAGCGAGGTGGCTGGCTGTCCTAGTGGAACCCTAGGAAAGGCTCATGCTTAGAGAAGGCAGGTACGTGGTATGTAGAAATGAGAAGGGAGACTATTGGAGGGTGACTGATTGAAGAAAACAATAGTCTGCCTTCTCACTCTCTATCTCTGCCTCAGTGGAGAGCACACCCCACTGCCAGAAAATAACGACTCCTTCCTCCAAATAAATAAACACAACACTCAGAAGAAGATTTTGAAAGAGGTTGACTGCACTGGGGGAGAATTAAAAAGTTACTGTGGGTATCTGAGCATTAGAGAAGAGTCTTCCTTATTAGGATACTTCAAGGACTCATCATTACACAGCTCACTCCTGCCTGCTCACCTGGAGTTGAGCTCACAGTTAACAAGCTTCGCCAACGTGTACAGACTTCAAACTCTCTATGTCTCTTGTCTTAAAAATGAGGCAAGAACTGAGAGGGCCTACACCTTGAAAGTAAACTTGCAAAAACAGTGAGAAAGACTCCTATCAGAACAAGTTGAAAAAAATGACACCAGAGAAAAGTGAAATGATTCATGATAAAGAGACAAACAAACCTTAGTTCTAAATAACATTCTTAGAGAAACTGAAGAATAGTTTATATTCATAAAATAAGAACAGAGGCTACCAAAAAATAACGCAGAGTTCTTAGAACTAAACTAATGATGATGATGATGATGATATCTCCCTAGATCCCTGCCCCCCCAAATCCCTTATAGATAAGTTGAGGGAAATGTTGAATACTGGAAAAATCTCTCAGAATGTATGATTAAAAAAAGGCAAAGGGCTCCAAATTATATAACAAAGTATAACAGAGTGAAAAAAATCCAAGAGGTTAAAAATCTAACAAATAATAATTCCAGAAAGAGGGGACAGAGGAAATGAGCAAATTTTTAACAAAATAACAAGACAATTTTCTAACACTGAAGCCGTGACTCTTTAAATTGGAAGTGTCTGATACCAACGACTTTTTTTTTTTTTAAAGGCACAGACCTAGATATATCATCACGGACTTTTATAGTATAAGATTAAAATTAAGTTACAAAAAATATTACTAGAAAAATAATTGTCTATCCATCCACATCCAATATCAGTCATGTATAAAGATTTAATATTGACACTTTTAGAATTTCATCTTCTAAGCACCTTTTTAAAGAAACTATAAGAGAGTAAACCAAGAAAGAGGAGGGCATGGAATCTAAGAGATAGAAGTTCCAAATCAGGAGAGCTGTGCAGCAGGGTGTAGAGAGGAATCATCCAAATCTGTTATAAACAGAAGATTCTGGCGGTGAGATTCTTTGGAACTGATGATGATTGAAATCATGGATAAAGCTGAGTTGATGGGCATCATAGCTGACGGAGGATCCATTCAGATACGATGCTAGAAATGTACTTTTTTGACAGGTATCGCATTAGACTCACTGGGGGAAAATGTGACTGCTGAGTCCCACATGGATCTGCTCTTCTACTATAATGAGGCAAAGGCTGATCTCTGGCTTTCGAGTCCTTGAATCAAGCTATAGAAAACCTTGGAAGACTGACTATGGTCACAGAAGAGATGGCAAATATAGTCAACCCTGATAATGTAAAAGTCAAGCAAGATGACAGGTTGTGAATGTGAAGGGTGAAAACACAGGAACACTAATACCCTTATCTTACAAATGAGTGATAAGAGATAATATCTGTGTTAGATGGAAAAAAATGGAGACTTTAAAGTTACTGATTAAATTTGCAAAGATAATGATCTCACCATTCTGGTAAGAAGAGGAAGACATGAGTGATGAAAATGAAAAAAAAAACCCTCCTCCATCATAATAGGAAGTCAGTATGAAAAGCCTATGGTAATTGATTTACATAGAGTAAAAAAGAAGCAAATTATTTCAAGACATGGAAAAACCATGAGAAAACTAAAAACCAAAGGAACACAAAGCATAAGTTAAGGCCGAATGCCTCTGAGGGATCTGAGAGGGCAGATGAGGCAGGGGACTGGTGTTTTCATTATAAGCATTTTTATACCATTTTATTTTTTGACTACATATATCTATTACTTTGATTGAAAAATTAAAAGAAGACAATGCATTTAATTATCAGGCTTGCTGCTTCCAATCCTTCACAAGGAGTTGCTTTAAGAAGATGCATTAAGAAGTCAGGCCAATAGGGACCCGCTTATTTTAAACACAGCAACACTTGTAAAGCCTCATGCTTTCACACTTATTTGCATTGCTTTATTTCCCTCACTAGTAAATGTGTTCGTTCACTTCTGGGGAAAGGAGGGTGACAGTCTGGACTTAGGTCTGTATTAGTTTCACGGAGCTGCTATAACAAAGTACCACAGGCTGAATGAGTCAAATAACAGAACTTCCTTGTCTCACAGTTCTGGAGGCTCCAAGGCCAAGATCAGAGTGTCACCAGGGTTGGCTCCTTCTCAGGGCTGTGAGGAGAATCTGTTCCATGCACCTCTCTGAGCTTCTGATGGTTTGTGTGCAGTCTTTGGTGTTCCTTGCCTGCTTAGAAGCATCATTTCGATCCCTGCCTTCATCTTCACATGGCCTTTGCCCTGTATGTATCTGTGTTCAAATCTCCCTTTTCACGAGGACATCGGCCTTATCTGATTTTGGGTTCACCCTACTCTAGTATCCTAACTTAACTAATTACATCTGAGTCACATTTTGAGGGACTATGGGTTAGCACTTCAATCTATGACTTTGGGGGGAACATAATTTAACCTATAACAGAGCCCTTTGGAGACTAGGCATTAAGTCAACTGACCTAATACTATTAAGGAAAAGAGTTAAACTGAGGTCTGTCTCCTTCATTAAAAGGAAAGCCTATTTGGGTCTGCGAAGCCTAAGATCAAAGAATACACTCCGCTCTTGGAGAAGTAGAAATCTTAAGGACACTTGCTTCTAACTGAAATAAAACTTATTTATTAAGTTTTATGGTTCAATAAAACCTGTTTTATTATGATTTGTAAAGCACTCTGAAATCTTTAGTTGGGCATTTCAAAATTTAGGTTGATTATTTCCATATTTACAGAGAGGAAAATTATATTAGTCAAGCCCAAAGGACATGCAGCATTTCTAATCAAAGTTTATTTGCTTCGGAGCATTTCAAGTAATGGCTAGCATATAATGGCTTCAACTGGATTTTAATAAAATTCCGATCATCATCTCACAGTAATTATGGCATAGGAAGAAAATTATTTATTGCCAGGCCTAACAGGCAGTATCTATTCTGCTGTGAATAGATATGCAGTGCAAACAGGCAGCTGTTTTTTTAAGCATGCATGTTTGCGCTGAATGTAAATGTATGTAAATACTTCAATTTTAACATTTTATTATTGTTCAAACAGTTTGCCAAGGAATACTCAGTAAATAATTTAAAGCTCTGCAAGACCATTTCTTTCTTTTAGTCTTTTATTGCTTATAATTTGACACTCTAGAGTCTTCTGGATATATAACCTAGATCTAATCTAATGTCTGATTGTAAACATGCTTGATTTTTTTTAAATCACTAAAATGGTTCCTTTGAATATTTGTTTACAAAATATCCTAGTTTGCAAATATCTAGAGAGGAATTCAAAATGTATTATCCTCTTGTAATTTTTCAGGACATTTGTTTTCATGCACTTGCTAACACACAGGAAGGAGAAAGGCAGCCGAAAAACTCCTGTGCCCTAGTGGGGCTCCTTAATGTCCTCAGTCATCACCCTTTGCTGAATTCTGTATTAGTTCCACTGAAGAGTTACAAAGGAAGTAATATCTGTTACTTTTAAATCACTGCTTTATTTAATTTATTCATGAACATCTAACCTAATTCCCAAAAGAATTTTGGGGGGGCTTGTCACAACAGAAGTGAATCAAGACTCTTCACCCTTGCACTCTGCTCCATGTTCTAGAGCCATCGAATCCCTTGCTGCTTACCTAATTCAGTTTCCAAACTGTGGACGTGTTTGTCAGGTTAGCAGAGTTCTGGATAATTAAAAGATCTGTTCATGAAAGCCAACCTTTCAATCCATTCATGGCCCAAAACACTTGCTTGAATGGGGTACTTTGATGAACCCAAAACCAAATATCACCTAGAACAGCAATGTATATAATCAAGAAGAGCTACCTGAAATCCCATATTGAGGACACCAACGTTGTTAGCACTCCAACAAGTAAAACTGCACATCTAAAAAGCGAGAGATGATAACGAATGTCTAATGCTTACTGTGTCCATATGTATCCCCAGAAAGGCACGTGTTAAATGCTTTACATGTGCTCACTCATTAATCCTGATGGCTCTAAGACGTGGTTACTACAGTTTTCTCTGTTTTACAAACTCAAAAGTTCTATGTTTAGGAAAAGCCTTTCTCTCATGTTCACTACTGAAAAGTTCCTTAATATGTAATACCATGGATCCTTGTGACTTCATAGGAATATTTTATAACAGAAATTAACTGTTAAGTACAATAAGCTCTCTGTTTTTAACTATAATATAAACCAGAATATATACCTTATTAGCAATAACTCAGATACCATGCTCTTTTTCATTGTTAATGCCATTCTAATGATGGCCTGTGGGTACTTTAAGATGCTGAACTACATCTAAATCCAATGACAAAGACTGAAAATGGTCAAAGAATTTTAGTGAGGGTTATGTTTATTGGATTCTAATGATTTAATTTGATCAACCCATGTGTGTTACATTTAATATGCTCTTACTTGCTTGTTTTACCATTTGCAAACACCTCCTGGAGCTGCCTACGTTGTTAGCCCTGGAGAGGCCTGGTCCACGTTACTTGGTAGCACATTTGCTACCATGCTAGAGAACGGAAACCGATCTTGAGAGTCAGCCACGCTGTTAGTGAGGCTCTAACCTGTGACCAGCTCCCGGATCTCCAGGTCGGTGGTCTTGCGGAGTAGCCTGACCAACGCCGGGATGCCGCCGCAGTTCTTCAGCGCAATCTTGTTGTCATCGTTGGCCTTCCCGTACACCAGGTTTCTCAAGGCTCCGCAGGCACTACGGTGGACTTCTGTCATCCGATGATCCAGCAGGTCCACCAGGAGCTGGATGCCTCCTTGTCTCCTTATCTGAAAGAGCACAGGACACACTTTGGGCCTCAGACAGGAAGCTTTCAGTACTTAAATCAGAACAGTTTTTTCATGTGAAGTAGTTGCTACAATTAATTGCACTGAACTATTAAAATTGAGGCACAGAAACAAAAAAGACAACAAATGCGTTCTCATTAGATTTTATTGCATTTACTTCCTTTAATATCCTACTGATAAAAATTCAAATGCATTTCTTTTCAAGCTATGGAATTTTGGAAAGGTGATTTTAACTTTCTAATGGGTTTCTCAGACACATCTCTCTATAAAAATATGCCACATACTCAGGGCAGGAAGCAGTTGGAGAATCAAGAGAATGCTTCTCACTCCTAAGACATCACATTTAACCTGTGTCTTAAAGGGCTGCAGAACTGATGTGCAAAATGTTAAAATTATGCTTAATAGGGAAATGCTCCCAATATTTCAAAGGAACAAGAGCTAAATGAGAAACCAGAGGATTTAATACAAGGATTTTCATCTAAGAAAACTTGGAAAATAAAGTCTCTCTCCATGAGTGCTAGCCAGAACACTAAGACCTGGGTATGTTATCCTTAACTTAGGTATTTGCTTAACAACAACAAAATCAATTTTGGTGTTCTTTCACCCAAAGAACATTTTGATTTTTTGATAAGTGAATGGAAAAAACACACATTGCAGTATGTTTCCAGATTGTGTTATCCTTTAATGGTTAGACCAATTTTAAAACTTAAAGCAAACAAATTGGCTAGTTAACATACAAAACATTTTGAGGAGTTTTTATTAGCAAAGCTGCATTTGAATATTTCTGCATTTATATGAAAAAAATAACACAATTCATTCAGTAATACTGTTTTCTTTTTTTAACTTCAACCTCCCTCAGGGATTGAAGAATTACAACTTGGCATGAAAGAATATAATATCAGACCTTTCCTACTTAGTTTTCTTATCACAGAAAACTCATTCATCCCACAGATGTGGGGGGCACATGGCTCAATCCCCCAAATCTTTCAAAGGTGCCCAAATTCCACTTTCTCGATGTAGCTACTCCAACCACACTATAAAACTGCAGTCCGAACCATACGGGCCTCCCCAGCATTCCTGTTTTATCTTAATCTGCTACAGAATTCTTTATAGCACTTACGATCTAACTTCATTATTATGGTTATTGTTATTGTCTGTCTTCTGCTAGAAGTATGTTCTTGGAGGGCAAGTCTCTTAGTTTTATTTACTGATAAAACTCCATTCCTATCGCAAGTGCAAGGCTGGGCACAGAGGAGATGTTTAATAAATATTTGTTGAGTAAATTAGGAGGAGAGTATATTACTTGTTACAGTAGTATTTCTCCGATTTAAAGGAAATAACAGATCTTTGGTGACAGGTAAGGATATCTCTGGGGGCTACAGCAGACTTTCCCACACGGAGAGCATGTGTCACTCCTACAAGATGGGCCATCTGATGATTCAAAATACACCTGTAGGAATCATTTTCATCTATACACAAACTAAAAACACAAAAAGTTGCAACACTTAGAACTCACAGACTCTAAGTCTGTGAGAAACATGAATGGGATGTTTCACATAGTTTACGTCCTATGGCAACAGAAACAGGGAAGGGAGAGGGAGGACATGGGTTGTTCAGGGAATTTCCCTGAGGTGTCTGCACAGCCTGTGGTGGGGACCGCACCCAGGGAAGGTGACTAAAGGGATTGTTGGGTCACTTTTAAACAGAGAGAAAGGATCAGAAAACAACTATTTCCCAATTTACAGTTTTACCCAGGGCCTGCTTGGCACCCATTCAAGAGGGATGGAAGTGTGTACCACGGTGTACATGTGTCTTGGACATACATCTGGGTAATAACATCAGCTTTATTATACTTCAGGAGGGATATTCCCCTTGTACGAAAAGGTTAAACTATGAATGTCATTTTCTCTATGTGTGTATCTGTACATGTGTGCTTTACTCAAACATTCTCAGGGGTGAGTTATTTTAATAATGATGAAACCATTAAAAAGAGGTAGTAAAGCCATTCTTACAGTTAACCAATTGGTTATATACTAAAAACAGATGGTATGGTAAATCTATTTTATCTATATATTTATATATATGTATTAGCTATACTATTTATTATAGTTAATATTCTTAACTTATGATAATATATTTCTCATTCATACAACATAATGGATCAAGCTATTAAAATGTTATTGCAAAGCATTAAAAGGGAAAATGAATTAAAAACAGATGCAATATAAATTCTTAATGGTATAATGAGAACACAATGTATCCAATGTGACCCTAATTAATGCCATATATCCAAATTTGTGGCAAAATCTTAAGTTCTATTTTAACCCACTTAGAGACCACAAATAAGACAATAAACTTTTCTTTCTGCTGCTTTATTTTGGGGGGGGAGGTGTCACCAGATCATCAATATTAAAAACTTTTGTTTTCTTGGGTTGAATTTTATCTAAGAATGTGATAATCCTTCAGTTTTCTGAGGCCAAACAGCAGTCAGAGCTGACATTTAAACTTTCACGGGTGTGAAATGCAAAGGTCAGGCCCTTGGTTCTTCCCCCTCCTCCTGCTACCTCCCCTTTCCCAGCAGGACGAGAGGGGAGTCCTGAGGGGGCTTCCAATTCAATTACGGGGCCTTTACACTTACAGGGTGTCTGGGGGCTGTGGAGGGGCCTGAGCTCAGCACCCCTCACTTCCCCTCTGCTTTTCTCCTGGATCCTTCCTCCCTTCGACTTTTCCTCGCACCCATTCTTCTGGTTTCTTTGTTATCTAACCTTAAACCCCTATAAGACTCCAAGCCTAGTTTAAACATTAATAAAGTACAACTTCTCTTTGAAAAGTTATCAGGGGAAATTCTACTCTTTGAAATGGCACCTTTACTCCCTCTCCCACTGAACGGCAAGCGTTCTCTCTTCCATTTGTCCCTTCAGTGGGTCACTCCCCACGCAGGAGGCGGGCCCTTGCTTTAGCCCACAGACTATCCTTTCAGGGAGTCTGCCCTCTTCCCCGACTCCCCAAGCGTTATCATGCAGACTTCTTCAAATCAAACCTTAAACGATTCTAGGTTTAATATTATTAAAACAAACCAATAAAATGCTGTGTATCTAATATATGTAAAATATAACAAAATTAAGTGCACTAGGAGAGTGGGTCATACGGCAGTAAGTTAGTAAACATATCAGGTGAATGGAAGAATGGGGCAGTTTCCTTCTCTCTCTTTTTTAAATTATTTTTAAATAGACATCATTTTTTAGAGCAGTTTTATGTTCACAGTGAAACAGCAAAAAGTGCAGAATTCTTATACACCCCTGTCCTCATGCATGCACAGCCTCCCCCATTATCAGTGTCCCCCCACCAGAGGGTACATGTGTTCTAACTGAAGAACCTGCATTGGCACATCATTATCACCCAAAGTACATAATTTAACTTAGGGTTCACTCCTTGTATTGTACATTCTAGGAGTCTTGACAAGTGTACAATGGCATGTATCCATCATTATAGTGTCACACAGAATAGTTTCATGATCCTAAATGCTCCGTGCTCTGCCTAGTCACCTCTCCCTCTCTCCTCTCTAACTGCTGGAAACCACTAATCTTTTTACTCCCTCCACGGTTTTGCCTTTTCCAGAATGTCACATAGTTGAAATCATAAAGTATGTAGCCTTTACAGATTGGCTTCTTTCACCTAATGATACATACACATTTACTATCTTGAGAGCTAGCTCATTTCTTTTTAGTGCTCAATGATATTCCACTGTCTGGATGTAGCACAGTTTATTCATCCATTTACCTACTAAAGAACATCTCGGTTGCTTCCAAGTTTGGACAATTATGCATAAAGCTGCTATAAACATCCATTTGCATGTATTTGTATAGACCAAAGTTTTCAACTTCTTTGGGTAAATACCAGGGAGCACAATTGCTGGGTTTTACAGTAAGGGTGTGCTTAGTTTTGTAAGAAACTGCCAAACTGTCTTCCAAAGTGGCTGCACCATTCTGCATTCCCACCACCAATGAACGAGAGTTTATGTTGCTTCATATCCTTGTCAGCACTTGGCTTTGTCGGTGTTCAGGATTTGGGGCATTCTAATAGTTCATAGTGGTATCTCATTGTGTGTTCTTTTTAAAGGCTGTTTGATTAAGATTGATTTACACTGATACAAATGATTGGATAAAGAAATCAATGTTGAGATACACATAGGGAAGTGTCGCTTGAATTGGATTTGAAATGAACAAATCTTATATTGGCTACTTTCCTGAACTTGACAGGCTCAGGGAATGACTGGAAAGGGTTCTTCATACATAACCTTAGTAGACAGCCTTAAATTCATTTACTAATTTATTTACTGTATGCTTCTCTGATAGATTGTCCACTTTAGTAAATTGTTCCTATATCAATAGCTTCCATTTATTTCTCTGCTTAGCCGTGAACTTTAAGGATTTAGGCAGAGAGAGAGGAAGATGGGGGACTGATGGATCCCATTCCTAGGAAAAATGTAAAAAATGGATTAACCAATCAAAGCAAAACTTTGCCCTACTGTCTGTCCTTTCTGGTTGTTTATAGAGAGGACATTCTTAACCCTGATGCAGACAGTCTCTGGGGGAAAAGGCTGGGATATGCGTGCACAGAATCACTGAAGCTCACCCAGTTTGTANTCCTTTCTGGTTGGTTATAGAGAGGACATTCTTAACCCCGATGCAGACAGTCTCTGGGGGAAAGGCTGGGATATGCGTGCACAGAATCACTGAAGCTCACCCAGTTTGTACTGAGGGGGAAGGAAATTGGCTTCCACATGTTTGCTATAAAAACCATTGTTTTAAAGTGCTTTTACAATGTAAACTCTAGAAGCAAATATATCTAAAACATCATTCAAGAGTAGGATGCAATGGTTTTCTTCTGTATCCTTTCATTACGAGGCAAAATATATGTAAACTTTTAAAATCAGAAAACAAATAGACAATTCAATTAAATACAAGAAAAATGCAAGTAAT